TTAGAAGAGAAATGCGGAAAAATTATGAAAATCTTCTGAACTGTTCGAATGATGACGTTTAATAGGCATTACCTTCATTTACTAACAGATATTTTTGCAAATAGCAGATGTTGTGCTTTTTTCACATGCTCTATTCAATTTGTCTAAATGATTTACGCTACCCTTGTCCACCTGTCTTTGTTTTATTTACCGAATGATCTGCTTTTCGAAGCTATTTATTCAGGATCCTACACCCCTACAGCCATTCATGGTTGGCACAAAAAATTTGTTTTAATCATGCTAAGGAGTTTGTTATGCAAGGCCAATTTGCTCAATGTTTCCAATTTCATTCCTTGGCTCTATATAGAGAGCGAGTAAATAAGGGCTGTATTGACTAAGCAGTTGGTAGCCCGGGATATTAGTTGGCAGGATGGAAAAAAGCGATCTTTCGTTGTCATCCCGGATTTCCAACACCACCGGTCTAATTTTTACTTTTTTCAATAAAAAAGTAACGTAAGTTTAGTCTAATTCTACTAGTTTACTGAGGAGGGGTGTTAATTTAAATTTAATTGCTAGTATGCAGAAACGTACCCAAAAGAGGACCGAAGTCAATCTCATTTAGGTCTGAAAATATTAAGGCACGTTGCTTGCAAATGGTCTGAAGTCTCTTCTTTCATAAGAAATTGACATTGAAAGGAATAAGGAAGGGTCTTAGCACAAGGTTTAGGACGATAAGCCCCGTCACGATTATAAACGCCCTTTGCTTATTTTTTCAAAGCAGCCCCTCGTAGTTTCTGCCCTTTCGGGTAAATGGCCGTCCCCTGCTCTCGTCCGAATTTCATATTTAACACGGCATTACGTTTACCTGCGCGATTCCACCGGAAATAGACGTCCGTACAAACTGTTCAATCTTTTATTCATGAGAAATAGTTTCCGCATGGATTGCTTTCACTTTGCGACCGAACCGGATTGCACGATCCATTTCATCGCCTTAGTTCGCACACCCCAAGGATTTTTACCACGATTGTTTTTTGAGTATTTACTTCTAAATGGATCCTATCAGTTGAAATTGCAGCTGGACCTTTTTTTGTACTTTGCATTAGATTCCATGAAAAAACTGATATTTAAATTTTGCCAATACATACTGACATTTGGTAGGTTTTTGCTAATGCGTCTTTCGGCCAATTTAATTGTGCCATCATCCAGCAAGCGATCTTTTCCGGAATCAGAATTCTTATAAATTCAAAGTTTAATTACCACACATGGAGACGATTAATAAATTGTCATAATTACAATACATACTATTTGAGAAATACCAAGTCCAGGGTCTGTATACCTTGTTGTAGATTGATACAATATATGATACAATTATAATTAATTAAGGTTTTTAGTTGAGATAAAAAAGTCAATGGCACGGGGGGGGTTTGGACCCCCGGTTTTTGGGTTGGTTCGGCGGTTTTTTTCTCCTTTGGGTTTTGTTGACTTGGTTCCCTTGGGCCCCCACCTTCCCTTCCCACCCCCCCTTTTTGGTTTTTCCTTCTTTTTTGCCTTTTTCAAATGTCGTGTAATCGGTTTGGATTCTCGGCGACAAATGAAATGGCCACGGAAAGCTTTAGTGAAGTATACTTAATTTTAAATCATTAAATTCATTAATTTCGTAGTTCACTTGACCAATTAATATATTACTATATTAATATATTAATATATTATTAAGAATGTAGAATCCTCCTATCGAGAATCCAATCCTATTACACGACATTTGAAAAATGGCACAAAGGAGGGAAAACTCAAAAGGTGGGGTTGTGATGGGAGGTTGGTGTCCGAGTGGATCGAGGTCACGATAGCTCAAGTGGTAGAGCAGCGGCGAATCTAGCCGAAGATCGCGGGTTCGAATCCCGCTCGGCCATTGACTTTTTTATCTCAACTAAAAACCTTAATTAATTGTAATATATTAATTGATCAAGCGGACTACGAAATTAGTGAATTTAATAAATATGATAAAATTTTCATTTCTACATTAAATTTGATGACACTATACATCATTAGCCTATGTGGATGATGTTTTACTCTATATATACCTAATTTCGTCGTTTCCGAACATTTCGCTCTGCCCTTCTTCGCTGTTATGGTTTGCCGGATTTCAACTTCTTACATTCTTCAATGCTGCCTCTTTGTTTGTCAAAATTTGCCATAATTTAATCTTATCTCATAATGTAGGCAGACACAATGGCAGTCTCTGAATATGTATAATTAATATTGAAACAAATATGACAAATTCTAGAAGGATTTGTTTAATGCTAACATCTGTAAGTATTAGGTTGTAAAACTGCCTTGCATTGAAGGTAGTTAGAAGAGAAAACAGCGAAAACAGGTGACAACAAATCACCCCCCTAAATATCATGAACTTTGTCGGATAACATGACCAATAATTAATGTTATATAGACAGTTTTCCTTTCATCGAGGAAATTTGTGAAAAGAAATTAACCCTGACCGATTCGTTCTCAGGAAGCGGTTGGTGGTGAAGGGTTCGTACTCCAATCCGAGCAAATGCCAGTTGAGCTGTGGTTAATGAAGGCAGGGAAACCACAAACAGAATTGCGGCCTCTTAAATTTCTGTCGTTTGTGTGCAGTCGAGTATCGCAACGGCTAACGCATCCAATTTTCTATAATCGGAAAACTACTTTTCCCTGTATTCTGGTGAATAATTTCCCCCATCTTACCGGTGGATTATTTTCGATTAAAGCTTCGAATTGATCGGCGTCTGGCATCGGGCCCCTCCTGGGCTATATTTGTTTCTTGTACCAACTCTTATCTAAACTTGACTATAGGGCATATCCGCTTACTATCAGCAACATCACATTCTATATCTATTCGTGCTTAGTTGAAATATTTTCCGAGCATAAAATAAACTTAATCGTTTCATTTCATTTCAGTAAGAACTCAGTACATTGTAGAGAAAGTTATAAAAAAGAAATCCTATGTAGATAATACGGATATAAACACGGCATTAAAGTTTATTGGTATCAATAAAAAAGGCTTATTGTGCCTTATTTTACACCTTTCAGCTCTTTTGAATCTAAAGTCTTTTTTGTAGTATTAATTTGCGTTCAGAGGGAAGTACGAAATCAGGCAAATTTAATTATTCCTAAAAGGGTTTAAAGCAATACATGCCGCACGTGGGATATGACAAATTAACAACAATGATGTAATAGCCCTTCAATCCTCGTTGTCTGATGGTGCTTTAAAATATGCCTGGATCAGACACATATGTTAAGTTTGGTCAGGCTGTCCACGAAGTCAAGACGTTGAAGATTAGTTGAACCGATCAAGAAAATACATGAAATACAGAACCGAATCTTTTGACAACCTCAGCAAGCCAAGCCTCGAGGTTGAAATTGAAAACAAAACCACAATAAAACAAATTTGTTTTTCGTTAAAAGAAAAAATATATTTCAACAAGCTAAACACGCAGAAAATAAAAAATTAAACCGACCGCATCTCGCGATATCTGAAAAACTATCGATTAACGGTCACTAATCTCTACACAGAAAAAATTAAAAAGTATGCGCCACTGATCACTTTTTAGCGTCCATCTATTCTCGTTGGTTGCTAGTTCAGCTGTGTATGAAGACAGTGTATGATCAGTCGATAAATTTGGGTTAGCGTTCAGCTCAACGTCTTTTCTGTTGTATTACAACGGCACTTTAAAAAATGAATAATCTGGCATTGAAATTGTGTCATCTGACATTACTGTCCCAACCTCTCCCCTTCGGATTACCACATACTTCACACCACATGTTGGATTTACGGGGACCAAATTATGTTGAAAAGTAGAAGTTGAGCTGCTTTTTAGCAGTACCACTTCAAAATCCGCAAATCCACAGCCACGTTTCTTTGGTTTATCGCTTATTCCAATTCTATTCATGAATGGTCAAACATTCTATCGCAAAAGATAACAAATACTGCCTGAGCCAGGTTTTTCTTTTCTACATACGGTAGTCTAACGTGGTAGTTGGGAAGGATTGAATTAATGGCTTAGGGATGAATTCATGAGATGGAAAATAATTAATTACCTGTATGGTCAAGAATATCTTCAATTATGATTTTAAAATAGGTTTAAATAAATTGCTTATTGTAGTATTACAACATTCTATTTTATCTGATAAATAGTGTATTGTTATGTTTTATTTCTTTGGCCATTGTTCTATCTATGTAAGAAATAATTATCATTGGTGGCTTTGTTATCAGAATCTTTCACTGTCATTCTTGCTTAATTTGTCCATTGTATCCGTGCGTACGCAGAAAAACTCACTAGAGGTTCACCTATACTTCCTGGCTGTGAACACCCTTTTAATCGGGATAATGTTTGGGGCGGTTAGAAAGGGAAGAAAGAAGAGCCTTCCAGGGTGATTTACCGAAACGTGAAATTTCAGGGTTTCTCGGCCTCGTATTATGAATCCGTCCATTGTCCGGTGGGCGTCTACCGAGGAGTGATTTATTGACTATCGGCCAGGTAGCTCAGGACGGGTCTTTACCTGTGAATCAGGGTTTTTTGGCCTGTTGTGCACGTTTGCACAGGTGTGCAGGTGTCTGCTTCGGACCAACTCTTTACCATTTGAAAAAGTTTCTTAAAAAACTGTTGGACCTTGAAGAAAAATGCAAAAGTCAAAGATTTCCTTCCTCTAAAAAATTATTATTATGGCAGAGCGGTCCTGTCTGTCCTTGATACTGTAGGTTAATTGGACGTGAAACAAACTCTTGAATGATTTTAAAATAATTCAATTGCACTGAAATGACATATATTTCATTTTTTTTAATACTGAAGAAATACTGAAATTGTGCGTTCGTAGCTCAACTCCAAGAATGTCTAAGAAATCTTACAGTATGTTAATTAGATTTTAATTTTGATACTTGCATCTTTTTAATTCAAAATTTAGGGGAAAAGGCCTAATAAAAGTAACAATTAGAAAAAAATAGTAAATTTACTTTTGCTTAAAAAATTATCAGTAAAATAAAAACAGCCTAATTTTAGTTTTAATGACAATACCATCTTGGTTCGTTGTTCATTACAAATTTATAATTATTCATGACATTTTTTGTTTATACTCCGTAAATAATATATACAACGATTGTAAATAATCGGCGGAAGGAACGTTCACAATATGCGTTATTGATCTTTGCTTTGGGACGACACATTCTCGTCCATGGTCAAGTTTTCCTCTTGTTCGGCTTTGACCAAGTGTTTCTCCGAAGATTGGTTTTCCTGGTTTTGCAGTTCCGTGATTTCTTTGATGAGCAGGTTGTGAAATTCGCTACGCACAACCAGCTTCTTTAAAGGAGGAAGCATTTTCATAAAGGGTAAGAGGGATTTGAGGAAATGCAGATCGCCGTTGTCGTCCGAGAGGATTTGGGTCGACCACCGTTGGTTCGTAAAGGGCTCACGCCTCTGGAAGTATGACGTGTCTTGGGATACGGTCGGTTCGACCCTCGCCCTGTCCTCTTCCAAACCTTCTTCTTCCATTTCCACGGAGGAATCTTCTTCTTCTCTTTTGTCCAGGCTGACTGCGACCAGGTCGGCTGCGTTGAGCGGCTCATCGTTTCCGCCCGTAGACATGATGCCGGTGAGAAAGCTCATTTCTTGAAAACGAGACCATTTAGGGAGAGGCGGCTCGTCCGAGTACATCCCTTCCATCCTCTTGTACTTCTTCAACTCCTTCCTGTAGTTGTCCCTCAGGCTCTTCCATTTTTGTTTAGCTACTTCCTCTGGAAAAAAAATAAACATCAGATTATTACGCATGGTTATATGTGCTTTTATGGGGACCGCGGTAGCCGAGTGATTGGCATGAGAGACTCTCACGATGGTGGGTTCGATTCCCACCGTCGCCTCTGGCCCTTTTTTCCCGATAACCCCCAATTTGAACAACATATAGATAAGAATTCGTCATGGCTAATATGCAAAGATCATAAGGCAAAAAAAAAGTGCTTTTATTTATAAAACGCGTGGAGTTAAAATAGGTCACGAAAATCTTAAAAAATTAACAAGGAGAAAAGAAAGAATAAGTAAATGCTCGAGCTCTTTCAGTAGGATCCCTTACAAATCGTCCACGCCTTAGTTTTTTTTTAAATTTTATACTGTAGTGATAAAGGCATTAGGTAATAATCGTCAATGATGATGATTTGACCTGAATTACCTTCTCAAAGATCCATGTCATTTAATTCCTCATCATCATTACAGTTATAATGACGAATTTATTGCAGCCTATGCTTGTTTTCTAAGGTAGACCCAAGCAACGACTTCGTGTAATGCAGCATAGACGCGCAACTCAACGTCGTACGTCGTGACTTTGGAAACACAGATGGTCGTGACACACGTGCGCTATCTATCAGGAACTTTTGGTCTGGGTACACAAAAAAGAAAGGTAGAGCTCCTTAATAACAATACCGCTTTTGGGCAACGTTTCGATTTTAGGACCCACTCAGTTTAAAAACAAACCTACAGATGGAGCTGCAAGATCCTTAAGGCCAGGGGCGACATACACCCTTCGTTCCCGTACACAACACCGTTGGTCGTGTATTTTAGTACTATGGATATTGCTGTGACTGGCTGTATAGTAAAAAAGAAGAAAAACGTAAAAGACGATTGTGGCATACACAGTTAAAACCAAAACACTATTACGCATCCTATATACTAGTAGGGATACACTACACGATTGTACAATGTATCGTTTGATGCGACTTCGAAAAACCAACAAATGATGGCAGTTGAGTTAGGTTGGGTATGTCTCGAGATGGTTTTGTGATACGCTGTGATGTTGCAAATTACCACTTATAAAAATCGGCATGACCTAATTATAAGAAATGTTCTTCCGTCTTTATCTCATAGAATATTTATATTTCCATACAATGTGTGGTGATTAGTGACCGTTAATCGATATTTATTTAGAAATCGTGAGATGCGGTCTGGTGTGATGTAGGTTTCAGAAAAACATTTGGCGCGATAAGGAAAATGTTTTTCTGAAACCTGCATCACACCAGACCGCATCTCACGATTTCTAAATAAATTTCCATACAATATTCTTTTGATCATTATGAAAAGCGTCATTTTTATTTAGATTGATATGTTAAACCATATGTTAAAACAATAAATAATATTTTCATATCTTAAAGAGTAAGTTTTGTTTAGAAATCATGATGGTAAGAATGAAAAAAGTAAATTCCTATATACAGTTTTTATTGGCAAATTTTTTAGTTCATTTTTTTTCGAAAATACATAAAGTAATGTAAAGCTGAGACATTTTTAAATGTTCAAATAATAATTAAGGTTAAGGAAATAAAATAAATTATAAGGGGTTCAGCTAATGTATGAAAGCATCAGTCGAGGCGTGAAATGGTAACTTTGCTCGTGATCAACTGTTGGAACCGGTTTGATGACTGCGGCTTTTCGACCCCATCGAAGTTAACTTGTGTCCGATTAATAAAAAATGATGGAGTGAGTATATCAATTCAACAATTGAAAAGGATGGTTCTGATCATAAACTGGTTTTTCTTTCGATTCGACCTGTAATCGCTCAGCGAAAACGTATCGAGAGTTAAAAATACAAAAAATATATGTAAATGAAGCATTGCACCGGCCACTCAACCACAAATAAAACGCGATGGTTTTCGTTGTTTACCTTGCTAAGGGAGTATTCGGAAAAAGGAAAAATACTAAAGCGAGAAGAATTCAAAGCTTTCTTAGAAACATGCTTTCGAATTCAAAGGCAAGGTTGACTATATGTCAAAAAGCATCAAATACCGGCTTCATGTCAAGATTGATATATTAGATTGGACAAAGTGAAGCTAGTTTATTTTATTGCACTGATAACTTATAATTGTTGTTATTATTAATTTTAAGGGCGTTTTAACGGCTGATGCCATTTCACGCTACGAACATTTAAACCTTCTATCTTAGCCCATTTATGTTTAGTGGTCTAATTGACAATATTAATCCTTTCAATTAATTATCCTTTTTTATGTATGGTCTTGGTTGAGATGAAAAAGTTCGTGTCACGAGCAGGGTTTGAACCCACGACCTTTGGCTCAATATGCCTGCTCTAACCACTTCACGATAGCTCAAGTGGTTAGACCATCGGCGTATTGAGCTGAAGGTTGTGGGTTCGAATCCCGCTTGTGAACTAATTTTTTCGTCTCAACCAGCACCTTATATAAAAAAGAATAATCTTCTATCATAGGTTAGCTTAGTCTATCTAGAGCCCTTGTGAGTGCTATAAAGCTCTGACTCAAAACATTCACTCATAATGTGTAGAGATTAGTGACCATTAATCGATAGTTATTCAGATATCGTGAGATGCGGTCGGGTGTGATGTAGGTTTCAGAAAAACATTTTCTTTATCGTGCCAACGTTTCGATCTTTTATTGAGATCATCTTCAGGGCTCTAAGTGTTTGTCTTCTGTGTAATTGTGCCATCCTTGCGTGTTGAGTAATTATACAGAAGACAAACACTTTGAGCCCTGAAGATGATCTCAATGAAGATCGAAGCGTTGGCATGATAAAGAAAATGTTTTTCTGAAACCTACATCACACCCGACCGCATCTCACGATATCTAAATAACTAATTCACTCATAAACTAATCTATCCTATTGCCATCCAAAGCTAATTTATCCTTTTAAATATCCAGATATGATGGCCAATTGTATACAACAAACCCATTTTAAATTGTAAAATTTATTCCTGTTCATTAATTAGAATTTTGAATTTTTGTTCCATAATTTAATCATTTCCCATGAGGTTGAATGGGAGGGTATAATGGAGTCAGACTAGCAACAGTCTGCAGGAGTATAAGCTCATTGTTATCTTTTTAATACTACAAATACTGTATTGCTACTTAACAATTGTAATAAAACAAATAAAAAAATAAAAACAATAACACTTTTTTTTAGAGAGAGATAGATAGTGAGAGTGAGTGAGAGAGAGAAAGAAAGAGAGAGAGAGAGAGAGAGAGAGAGAGAGAGAGAGAGAGACAGAGAGGGTGAGAGAGGGGGGAGGGAGGGAGAGAGAAAAGAGAGAGAGAGAGCTTTCTTTCCTTTTTTAAATTACGATTTTGGGCATTGTAGTTTATTACCCCGCAATTTGTATTTTCTATTTTCCTTTTATTTCATTTTTCCTCTACGGCAGCCTCAAAAATTTCCTAAAAAGAGAAAGAAATCTTGCACACAGAATTCTCACTCAAACACTAGCAGATATATTCAAAGGTATAAGAATTTGGGAAAAGTCCTAAATCTCATTATAAATTCCAATAAATTAAGTAACTCCTTTAAATCAGTCGAAAGGTTGAGCCTTTGTCTAAAGGGATGCAAAGTGCGACATTCGACCAAAATATGTTTTAAAGTCAGAAAGATACGTTCTACACAAATTGGAAGGTTGTTTGTTGCCTATTAAAAGCCTATTAAATATTGTGGTCAATGATTATTGAGAGATCGTAATGCAGTTTTAGAAAACCTTTTTTTCCATTTCCTTTTCGTGTCAACGTTTCGATCTTTATTGGGATCATCTTCAGAGCTCAAGGTGTGTGTTTCGTGTGTAGATATGTCATGGTTGTGTGTCGTGTTGAGAGTGTTCACACACAACCGGGACACATCTACACAGAAAACACACTTTGAACCCTGAAGATGATCTCATTAAAAATCGAAACGTTGGGGCGATAAAGAAAATGTTATTCTAAACTTACATTACAGCAGACCGAATCTCTCGATCTCTAAATAACAATTGACAACACTATTTAATAGGCCACTAAATACTACATTTTTTTATACTCGGCGCATTTCGCGCGTTCAAATTAAACGGCTTACCAGCTGTTCGGTGAGACGTCACGATGATGGGGAATTCATAAATCAATGTTTACAATCTTTGGGAATTTGACCTTTTATATAACTTGGGTAGTCTATATAATCAGCGATTACATCTCGAAATCCAGGTCTCTGAAAAGCCAGTTTGTGAGTAACTATGCTCAGGTTAATGCTTAACTTGTAACCATGAAGGTGGACAATCCAACGTGTAACGGCCCTTGTGGTCACAATCTGGAACACGTTCTGCCCTGCTTTATTAATATCAAGGGTTTCGAAAGAAAAAGAAAAGATCATTCATTGAAGCGTGCATTATGTAATCCGATCTGTCCTTAATGTTTCCGGATGAGAGCATTTTGTACCTGAATTTTGATCGATGAATATCTGAGTGATGTTACCAAAGGTCAGGATGCAACGTTGGAATCGATCTCTATTGCCGATAATATTTCACTTACTTTTTTCTCCTAAAATTTTGGCGACCGAGTTCCATTCCTGGTCGGCGAGGGTGCGGTTGTGGTAGCTGATGTTTTTCTGGTCCCAGAGGAGAGGCCGCTTCCGCACTTCGCGGATCAACGCCGACGGGTCCATTACGTGCGGCCGACGCCGGCAAGCGACTGAGGGCGGAATTCGTTGGCTCCAGAACGGGCGACCAGATCGCGCTTCCTGGCCGCCGACATGCGCGCCGGCAGGCCAAGGGTAACCGTCGGACGCTCACGAGCCGCGCCGAGTTATGACGCGCCGCGACGGCATTTTCTGATCTTCGCTCATTCGGTTCATCGTATCGCCAGCCTAGGCTTTAAACAAAAACTCAAACTGTTTTAATACAGTCTTAAAGGGTAAAATTAAATAATTATTATTATTAGAATCTGCAATACAGAAGTAGTGATTAGGAAAAGGGAAAGATTTCTCTAGCGATCCAATTTACAAGATAGAGTAGGATGGAGAGTGAGAGGGAATGAATGAGAGATAGAGATAGTGAAAGGAAAATTAATAAAGAGACAAATGAGCATATAAAGAAAAGAGATTAATTACATAAAGAAAATAATTTTGGAGCACTAACATAGGATTATAAGATTAAGAACAAATACGACTTTATTTGATAAATAGTATAAGTGAGAAAGATTGTAGAGAGAGAGAGAGAGAAAGAGAAAGAAAGAGAGAGGGAGAGAGAGAGAAAGTGAGAGGGAGAAAGAGTAAGAGATAAACTGAAAATGAGAGTGTGGACTAATTCTTCAGAAATGCCGATGATTTAGCAGTTCTGTTGCTATTTGCTGAAAACGATTTTCATCAATATTCATAGACTAATAGTGAGAACACCCAGGAAATTTTCGATACAGAACAAGCTTTCAAAAAGCCCTTAAACGGTCTGTAATGGTGGCTTAATTTTTGGTACACGGTACGTTAAATAATTTTTCCAATCCTATCTGAAAAGACGATATTATGGAATTAATTATCTCTTATAAAGAACATTCTGAAAGCCTGCATTTAAATTGAAATAACGAATAAAATTTTACATTCGATCCGGGTCCAAGGTCGCGAAATGTCCAAAACGAAACCGTTATTCGAGCTGGTTTTGAAATAAATACTTTTCAGTCGTACTATTGATTTTGTCAAGCTTCAAAAAATCCGGATGTCAAAAAAGTAAAGCCATGAAAGTCATCAACCGCACCAAAAAAAGGGAAAAAAGAAAAGAGGAAAACTTCCCAATTATAAACTACACAGTCACCCCTCTGGAAACGTGAAACGAAGGGGTCCGACCCTCGGTTTCATTCATTGTAACACATCTACATATATTGCAATCAGGAGAAAAAGTGCTTTTAAAATATTTTCGCCGAAGTAATCCCGTAGTGCTCGGAGATCAAATATTTCCCCGTCGGGAATCGCGAATTGGAATATTTTCTCTTGATTGTTCTCATTTGACGATGGGCCTTGTTGAGTAATTAAGGTCAACTCGTGAAAACGTATCAATTTTCAACAAAACGTTCCTCCAGTCAACAAAATGTAAATTGGCAACATTATTCTGTTAACTTCAATTCATCGTATGTATTAGACATTGATATTTAATTGAAAGAATAAATATCTAAACGCTACAAACTAAAAATGAAAGGAAATGGAAAATCAGGCATCACCTGATTATATCCAAGTGAGAAAGCTCAATAATATTTTTGACAAAGAGAGCATGAAAATAAAGATAGTCAGAGAGACTGAGAGGGTGAGATTGAGTGAGTAAAGGAGAGAGAGGGAGAGAGAGAGAGTGAGAGAGAGAGTAAGAGAGAGAGAGAGAGTAAGAGAGAGAGTGAGAGAGTGAGAGAGTAAGAGAGAGAGAGAGAGAGAGAGAGAGAGAGCGAGAGGGAGAGTGAATGTGAGAAGAGGAAAGAATGAGCGATCAATTGAAAATGAGAGTGAAAGAGCGAGGGGTAGAGAGGTAAAGTGAGAGAGAGGGTGAGAATATGAAAGAGAGTAAGTGATAGTGGGCGAGTAAGAATAAAAGAGAGTGAGACGAACGTATAGTGAGATAGAAAAAGTGACTAAGATAGAGAGACAGAGACAGTAAAAGAATGAGTGAGAGTGAGGGACAGTAAGAAAGATAGTCAACGAGAGTGAGAAGGGAGAGAGAGAGAGAGAGAGAGAGAGACAGAGAGAGAGACAGAGAGAAAGAAGAGAGAGAGAGAATGAAAGTGAAAGTGAGAGGGAGAAAGGGTGACAGATAAATTGAAAATGAGAGAGAGTGAGAGTGAAAGAGCGAAAGGGAGAGAGGTAAAGTGAGAGAGAGGGTGAAAATGTGAAAGAGAGTGAGTGATAGTGGGCGAGTAAGAATAAAAGAGAGTGAGACGAACGTATAGTGAGATAGAAAAAGTGACTAAGATAGAGAGACAGAGACAGTAAAAGAATGAGTGAGAGTGAGGGACAGTAAGAAAGATAGTCAACGTGAGTGAGAAGGGAGGGAGAGAGAGAGAGAGAGAGAGAGAGAGATTGTGAGTGAGAGAGAGAAGTGCCAGAGTGAAGCAATAACGGAGAGAATAATCAATTAATAATAATGAGAATAAATTTGCTCCTTTCATTAAAAATTTAAATTGTTAAACTGAATAATTTCAGATTTATGTAAATGTTTTAATTATGCTGGGCAGTTGGTCAATTACACTTTCGCCGTGTTAAAATATAAATTAATTTATTTTACATGTCAATGGAAATAAGTGTGAGTACCTGAGAGAGCTTACGCGTCCTAAGAACATTTTTCATTGAGATCTTTACACCTTAGTTTCTATGGTTGACTGGATTGACTAGTAACGAAAAATATACTGTAAGTTTGGTTTTCCCAAATTATTTTGTTATCAACTTTCTACTGAGGAATTATATGGGTAAGAGCTCCCATTCTGAACTCGAGTTTGGAATTAAATCAAAAGGTGGAGGCGAGGAATTTTCATTTCCTCTGCCAACTTTCTTGAGGCAAAGCTCGCCGTTTGGCCGATAGGAGATTGGTCTCGGGTATCCGTCTTTTACCCATACACCACGAAGATCTGCCCAATATACTCAAGTTTAATTGGATTCGAGAAAATCCTCTTAGCGTTGAGGTATTCGGCGAATTTCCATTAATAATAGGTGGTGCTCTTTCAACCTTTAGGACCTTTGGCGGTCGGATGATGGAGCCTCGATAGGGGTAGGTTTATAGCAATAAATGTATTGTGCCTTTTGAAAGGAAACCCCTTCCCCGAGGCACCACTGTATCTAATATTCCGCTAAAGCATTCACCTCGGTGGGCCCTTCTATACGCCTTAATGCTATTTACACTAGTCGTGAAAATCATAAAAGGGTATTAGAGAAGAGGGCTGGCTGGGTTAGGAGGGAAGTCTCACAATTTCCTTTTCGGTGGGATTCACCTCCACGTGAAGTTTTATTACCACTCACATAGTTAAAGTGTTCGACTCCTCCAGGGCTGTGAAAAGCATAAAGGAGAGCATAAAATAACATTGTTAAAACAAATTTTCAACTTAAAGCACCTGGGTGCTTCGCTTATCCGCCGTAAAGGCCTCGTTTGAACTTATTAGAAATACGACCACTCTCATAAAGCAATGGCTTTATTTATTGGGCAAATGCGGCTGAGAATATTATTAACCAAACAATCGTTAACACATAAACAAGAAATTTGTAGAACGTTGAAAAATCATCCTCCAATTCCGATTAAGGTTTTAGACATATACAAGTTATAACTTTTTTGGATGTAATTTTTTTACAAATGCATACATCTTATCAATTTCCAATAAGTGCTCTAGTTTAAAAGTTAATAAATACATGTAAACGTTTTAAACCTTAAATCTTTACAAACTCACAACTGAAAAATATCAAAATTTGCCTAACAGACCAAACCATGTAAGGACTTTATACTTCGTTTGTGTCGTTCAACGGCTTTATTTATTCGGCAAATGTCCTGGAAGGAAATATGTAGAAAATGAGAAAATCATCCATGAATTCTAGTCCAGGATTATATATATATAAGATTATAACTTTTTTTTATCGACAAAACATTGGTCATAGCCCATTCTCTCTTCTTTTCCTGGCTTTCGGGCATTTTGATTCTTCTAAATTCTTTTTGTATTTCTGCAGGCAATTTTCTTAACAATATACACAAAAACATATTAGTCCGGTACCATTTACTCTACCCCAGAGTACTTTATATTCCTAGTGGTAATTGGGGAAAAACCCCACATTCGCGCTAATAAATTACATTCATACACCAGACTTCGTTCGCACTACCTCAGAATATTCGACTTCCTCGGGGCAATTGGGGATAAGCTCCTCTATTCATGCAAATAAATTTATTCGCTCCAATAAATAATACATATCACATGGAGGATTCAGAGAACTATGTGAAATTAAAAATATTTATTGCCCTGAGAAAATCGATCAGCGATTCGTGTCTGCTTCCGTGCTCCAAGGTCGCGCATAGATCTTCGGGATGTCATATTTCTTTCTTCGCAGCATGTTACATCCTTACCGAGATATGTTCTTTCTGTCTTCTTTAATTGTTGGAACTCTTTATAAATATTTATATACCCACTGAAGATGGCGAAATGACAAAATGTCATGACAGACATAACAAGCTGGGATTTTGACTTATTTGTGTCTTTCAATAATATTATTTATCGACTAAATGCTAAGAATAATTATAAAAAAAGAAGTCATACAAATAAACATCCAGGAAATCAAATCCTCGTTCATGTATATACAGGGTGTTCGGCTACTCATGTTACAAACTTTGTCAGTAGATTGTCCATTCAAAATGGAACCAAAAAGTCCTAATTAAATATCCGAAAAGTCTACAGTTTCGGAGTTATTCCACTTTTTCTGATTTTTTAAGATTTCACGACCTTGCTTCAAATAAACAATGCTAACTCCAAAAATAAAATGTTTTGGACAAATCCGTTGATACCGTTGAAAACTACGTTAAAGTTCCAGTAAGATGTGATCAATACTAAACTTGAAAACTTTCTTGAAATAAACGTTTTAGTAGCGAGAACTTTGAAAAATATTTTTTTTTCAAATTATTCAGAAATCGTGAGATGCGGTCACTAATTAACATACTTTTTTTTCAAAATTGAAATACTTACTATGGTGATTCTAAACTACTA